AATTTTAATGTCAGCAAATGTCAAAACTTAGGAATATTTTGCAAGGTCGAGCGCCCATTAAAGATATGTTAATGCGTTAGGAATGAGTTCAGGGCGTGACGAATCATCCACTTGTCAACTTTTAAAAACATTCCTAAGATAACACGCGACAACATCTCGTAATAAGCAGGGCCAGAGGGCATGAACATTAATTATTTAATCCTTCAGTGGTTGTGGCGATAGCACTTTTTTTGCTTTCTAAATTTCTACGGCCTTGGCTCTATGGTCAAACCATTAAATTAATACGACAGCCAGGAGAGTAGTTTGTTCGCCTAAACGTGGAAGTTAGACGTGTCTGAGGAAATGTATTTATGAAGGAGTATTATACTGCTCTTAAAACAAGTTCCTGATCTGATTACCGCTCACATATAAAGAGCCGGACCACCAAGGAAGGGGAGGCAGACCAACTAGGAACATAACATTGGGTGTCGGGAGTAAAAACACACATATTTACACGAAAGAGGGAGATGATTTGCCTGCTGCTTGCCAAATATGGCCACATTTCACTTCTTCTTACATTCTCGGCTACTCACGATAAACGATTCTTCTAGAACTCGATCTAATTTTCTGATTTTACACGAGCAAAGATTATATAGCGGAGTAAATATGAGCTGAGACGTGTCTGATTATGCAAGGTATCCTTAATTAAAAGGTGCATTTATCTTGTGTGGGCGTTCTTAATTGAGATGTTCCACTTATAATAATAATCTTAGAATCATTAATTTGGCGTGGTCAAGAATTAGAAATGGTTTTACTGATTCCCAGACGACTGAAAACTCCCAATTTATATTGAAGTGCTCACTAAGTCATTAACAGTGTCACTGTAATAAGTAACAGTGTCAATGTAATAAACCCAGAAACTCAGTTTCCGAGCTCATCTCATTTTGATACCTTAATACGTCTGGCACTGCGAGTAGTTTACGCTCTCCTGTGCTTGCTGCTTCTACAGTGTATTATATCAATCCGGGGGTTAAACCATAAAAACTTTTCAGTTAAGTTATAATGTCCTGTCGACTTTGATAGCATAGATTGCGTCAGCAAAATTAAAGTGCCCCCTTTAAGTAAGAATAATCGACAAAGAAATTTCATCACTTCTACCAACATTTGCGCAACATTTATTTACGCGACCAAACATGGTAAAAGTAAAACCATTCTTGGGAATTATATCATGCTGTAAACAGCTAATCAACCACAGCACCTTTCTCGATAGGCAAATTAATTCCGCAGAAGTTAAGTTATATAATGCAGCTAAATCAGGCATCAGGAATAATCAAATACAACTCTTTCAATTTAACAACATGCTTGCTGATGCATTTCAACATTTTTAAACTTTGATTGCTGACTTGAAGCCAAAGCATGATAACCTGTTAAAAAGCGATATAAATTTAGCACATGTAATATTAAAATGAAAGATCGCAACAGCTGTGTTGTTAAAGGTGGATTTGTTGTTGAAGGTGAATTTGAGTGGGCGTCTAAAAATCAGCTCACAGCCCAAAATGGGGTCCTGCCCCAACTTTAAACCCCCCCCCTCCTTATAGTGGTATTCTGTCCTCACACACGACTGATAACACGTTGTAATACTCGACTACACTTGATATCATTGAGGAGGGGAGATATTATATACATGGTATAATGACTCGTGCTTGCGGAGCTGACACGCTTAAATACTCCAGCTATATACGCTCTCAGCTGGTTTGGCGGCCCCACCAGCCACCTGCACTCGAGACACGGTCCTTTGCCTTCTAGCTGTGTGTACCAGGCCTTACACCTGGACTTTATTATAGTACTGTAGATCTGTATACTGGTCATGGTGGGGAGCTTGAACTGTATTCTTGTGGTGGGGAGGTGAACTGTGGTTTTCTGGTTGGGAGGTGAACTGTATTTTTCTGGTGGGGAGGGAACTGTATTTTTCTGGTTGGGAGGGAACTGTATTTTTCTGGTGGGGAGGTGAACTGTATTTTTCTGGTTGGGAGGGAACTGTATTCTTGTGGTGGGGAGGTGAACTATATTCTTGTGGAGGGGAGGTGAACTGTATTTTTCTGGTAGAGAGTTGAACTGTATTTTTCTGGTTGGGAGGTGAACTGTATTTTTCTGGTTGGGAGGGAACTGTATTTTTCTGGTGGGGAGGTGAACTGTATTTTTCTGGTTGGGAGGGAACTGTATTCTTGTGGTGGGGAGGTGAACTATATTCTTGTGGTGGGGAGGTGAACTGTATTTTTCTGGTAGAGAGTTGAACTGTATTTTTCTGGTTGGGAGGTGAACTGTATTTTTCTGGTTGGGAGGTGAACTGTATTTTTTTGGTTGGGATGGAACTGTATTCTTGTGGTGGGGAGGTGAACTGTGTTTTCTGTGTTTCTCTGACACGTGAGAGTGCTCGACCAACCACATGTCCAAACAAATGTGTGTGACCTCCCTATCATTTGCAGTATTCAAATGTTTATATCATTCAGCGTTAAGTCATCCCACGCGGACGGTGTTTACAATTAAAATGTCTAATATAGATTTTTATAGCAAGTAACTATTATATTTTAAGATTTTAGTTGATTAACGGATTATTGCATCCGATTCTAGAATTTTGAAGAATTGTTTCAATGGATGAGCGAATTACCATTAGTTAAGCTAGCGTTACGTGCAGAACAAACTTGGAAGTGTGAACAATTTTGTCCGGAAAAACAGTTTAACAGTGAAATGATCACCAGTAATTTTATCGGTTTTTAATGATTATTTCATATATGGGCAATTCCACGTAGTGTAATTCACGCTTTGCACAAAATTTAGCTTTTAATTGCATGCTAATTGTAGGCTAACATTAGCAGCATGATAATATAAAGTCAGAATGAAGTTTAAACGTTTGTGATGATGTGGCAACAAAAGTTTAATGTCTATCTCTTATACTTTTTATGTGAGCAGCATTTTAAAAAGTAGACGTTATTCACAGGCATAATTTGGTGTTTTAGAAATCTTGCCTTAAAATTGCAATTCGTGCCCCAGTGTAATAGCAGAAGTTACAATAAGGCTTGATCACAATAAAGTACACATTTTTTTAACTTCCTATGTCCTTCCTAACATAAATTTGTGGAATGTGTGTAGTACAGGGACAATATAGGAAGTAAACGTTATTCACATTTGGACGTAGTGTAACTCACACTCTGCCCAGTTGCTCTGTTTGTGCGTTGTATTGATGTTTGCTTGTTCTTGATTTGGTTGCTGCTATTGTAAAATGGTGAAGTAGACTGACTATTACTGATTTTAAATTAAATTGACTACTAATCGGTCCAATTAGATACTGGTAATGGCGTAGATTACACCCTACTGCCATACCACAGTGGTCGGGGCGCCCATGCGAGGTAGACATAAGATATAGGCATGACTAAGGGGTATGATATACCACAAAACATGTATTCTAGGGGTATCTTGCCCCAAAATAACGTTTAAAAAGGTTTTTAGAGTGATTAAATGGATATTTGACCTCAAATATTAATTTTACCTCATTTTTTGTCAAAAATTGCATTTTTTGGCAATTTTTTGCCATTTTTTAGGACAAACTACAAAAATAAGTTGCAAATTAACTTTGGTAAGCATCTATAAGTTGATCTATCTGTAAGTATAGGACATTTAGAGTAATCCTAGAAAAATGTACAGTGTAATATTGTGGCATGATTTTTTTATGAGCTCTCAAAGGTTCATGATTAGACAGAAATTGGGCGAAATTTATAACTTTTTGAATCCATTTTTAGACCATTTTATCACTTATATCAATTCTAAACTACTTCTTTGTGTTTTGAATGTGAAGAGGTCATCAAGAGCTTTAATTTGATACCTCTATACATGGTTTTTGATAAAAATTAGAATTTTTTGGGGCAAAAACACTGCTCTTTTGAGCAAAATTTAGTTACGTGACAAGAAAATAAGGTAATTTTAGCCCCAAATTGCTGATATTTTCTGAAAATAAGCCTTTAAATTACTCAAATAAGTGTTCTTAGACCTAACAATGACTATAAAACACTTTCAAATCAATTTTGATGTCCTAATCCATTTAAAAATCATTATTTTTGCGATTTAAGGTCTAAAAGTGGCACATTTTGCCCTGGCGGAACCCTAATTTCGATTAAATTACCAACACTTTCAGGCAGTTGTTGAAAATAGGTCCCTGGAATTGCCCTGGAAGCATTGAAAGTACAATTTATTTCACAACAAAGCATTTTAACCACTTGTTTTATTAATTTTCCGCTGTGTAAATTACACTACCAAGCTGTGAATTACGCTACCTGTGAATCACACTACCCCTACTTTTTGCACTTCCAGTGTGACAAAACGAATGAAATTTTCTGACCTTTATAGATGACTAAAGTTGCTGTTAGAGAGAGAGTTACGAATCAAACAGATTTATAGTGTAGCCACAGTAAAACATTTTTCACTATTTGGTAGCGTTATTCACACGCGAAGAGGAAAAATTTGATCATAAGACACTCAAAAAGTAAAGAAATTTGGCCCTCAAAATTAGGCTGGCCTTCTATCTGAAGCCCACTAGGTTGATATACAGGATAAAATATTGAATTCTACGATTAATAAAGCTCCCTAAAATCTTTCTGAAAATAACTGGATATTCACACTAAAGATGCACTAAATTTAAGCCAACTTTGACGCGCTACAGTTTTTAAACTAGGCTAGATATCAACAAACGGTTTTTTTCCCCTGAAAATATGGTCAAATATCTTAAAGATTTTCTATCTCTCCCAAACCTCCTCCAAACTTTATTATTTTGTTACTGGTTACTGTTATCGTGGAATTGCCCATATGGATTTGTTGGTCTACGATTAGTGATTACTCACAAAGCTAAGTGAACATAATCGCTGAGTTGACAAAATAATTCACATTTAGTTTTTAACAATATATTCAGTCCTGAATCCGCTATAGCATCTTCAGGAAAAAAAATCTGAAATTACAATTAATGTACTTACGCATTGCTGATGCTTTTAAGTAGTCCATTGCATGGCAGACATGTAGCTGTAGTGTTGTAGTATTAGGGTTCAAAACACAAATAAAATCAAATAACATGTACGATTAATTATCAATTTAAATCAGAAATTAAGAACAACGATTCGATTTTTCGAAGGTCTAAACATATGAAACTAAGTAAAATCGTGAAAGATAAACTGATATGGAAAATGCTAAATTTTATAATGAAGCACCCTACCGTGCACCAATATTATGAAATAAGTAAATCATATTTTATGGTTCAGTAAAAATACTTTTCACATAATTTTGAAAGTATATAATACGAGTGAATTAGGTGTCGAGTCCATAATTATCCTTAAATTTTAAATTCCCGTAACTATCAGAGAGATGAATGATATTTGCTAGATGCAGTAGGAGTATCCGGTATATCCCCTCTATCGACGACAGCCCAGTTGACGAAATATGCCAGTTCCTGCAAAAACAAAAAGCCATACCACGTACCGTACCGGACGGTTTGAAACACCAATTCTCATTAGTCAATGATCATTGATCACAGAGGGTAGAGATCTTTGACTCAACTAAGAGGGCTATAAATACCTGGCCAGTGAGGTGCTGGCAGGTGGTACCGTGTCCCAGCACCTGATCACGTGACCGGAGTGTGCCCTCCTATTGGCTCATCAGCATCTATTTATAAGAGCCATTGTACAACAACGACAAAGAAAAGATGGCCACCATCGTGTACATATTATTCAAATATGATATCTAAATCTAGGGAGGTACTGGGAGCTGCACAAGGAGGTGAACCAAACCGTGTTCACTAAACCATATTGGTTATAATTAATAGTGGATCTGTCTTGTTGCTCAACCTCTCTCAATCAATGGCACAATTCTAACTCCTAAACTACAGTAAAACGCAGCACTGATTTCATTTGGCGGAGGTTGAGGTGCAGCACTATGTTGTATCATCGTAATAGTTAATAAATAGAAAATCCCACCAGAAGAAGGTATTCTAGTTAAACCAAGAGCATCTCAGACTTACAGGATCCCTAGACTCTTCTCCCTCTACAGTCTACATCTATCCTTATCTCATTCAGCACTATCTATTTATCATCAGATTATTAACACCAATAGTTTAATCCTCATTTTCGGGGCCATAATTTGGTTAATTTTTTGATTCAAAAGAGCAGAGTCCAATTATTGTACGGACCACGTATTATGTTAAATGATACCTAAATTGCCTTGCTACATAATATTATGTAAAGAGATAATATTTTGGCTAATGAGCTTATCGGGTAAAATTGTTATCTTCATTTATGTTATATTTGAAATCAACTGAAATTGTTTATTAAGTTTTATCAAGAAGGTCTGTAAACATCAAACGTGATAAAGCAAGCACAAAGTATAGAGCTATAATTATAGTGAAACAACATCTGCACTCACTTGCTCGTTCTGAAATGATTAAGTTGAACCAGAAATCATACCTTGTAGGGACTAACAGGGAGAAAATTTAGCAGAATCACTCTGCACCTTTTAGGATCAACCAGAATAGATATCTTTTGTAATTGAATGACACTCAATGATCAACCCAACTTGAACTATGTCAGTATCCTGCCAGAGAAACTGATACACTTTGAATAGATCTGTATAGTCTGCATAATTCAAGTAGGATTAAGAATCATGTTACATATTTGAGCGATGTGCATGAGGTGCAAGTGCTTGATCTTCACTTTAACTTCTATTTAAATTGGTGCTCTTCTAATATGATGCACACGCACAGTTGCACACTGCTGTTGACAAATAAGGTGTTTATATAGGAACCATAAGTTGCTTTTAGTGTGCAAACGGTATTTATAGTTACATAATCATGTACATTCCCGGTATGCATGATGTAATTAGAGACCTTCGATTGATTCCAGAATTGAGACTTGTAACTCGCATAGAGTAATCTAAAACTCAAATATTTCATTTGGAAACAGATCTTATAATCAGGCCAAAATTTCCTAAGACTAATTATTTTGCCAACCTAATTTGTGTTAAGGTGATTTTAGTACAGTTATAAGGATTTTATCATACACACATATTATCTAAGTTTTAACACATTCTACACAGACGGGTCACGCACAGACTCAGGTAGCGGGGCTGGCTATATCATCACCGCTGACAATAACAACACTACCCTAGAGGAAAGATCATTCAAGCTTCCTGATTATTGCAATGTTTATCAAACAGAGCTCACCGCCATCATCGAAGCTTGCAAATATCTCTCAACTTATACCAACACACACACATCATCATATGGTCTGACAGTCTCTCCTCTATACAAGCTATATCCTCGATCTTAACGAGGAGTAGAACTACTAGATACTGTTATGACACCCACAATGCACTCTGATCCACCAACACTCTAGAGATCCGATGGATAGCTGCACACATCGGATTGTGGGGTATGAAAAAGCAGATGAGCTGGCCAAGATTGGCACAACCAGTGAACCCACTTTGAAGTGCCCAATTCCACAATCTTACATCAAACGCCTGATCGACGACAAAGTCACCAGACTAAATCAGGAAACCTGGTTAACTGATGGACCCAGACACACCAAACTGACACTCGGTCACAAACACATCAACATCATCAAAAATCTTAACACTACACTCAGCAACAACAGAAAAACTGCAGTGCACCTTATCACGGGACATTGTGGCTTAAACAAACACCTCCATACCACTCCCAAATCAAGCACCAATGCTTGTCCTATGTGTGGCGACGGAGAGGAAACTGTCTCACACTTTCTAGGACAGTGTCCGACTATTGCCCAAATAAGAGGTCAATATTTCCAGGACTATTACCTCTCTGTCATGATGACATATTCGACAACCAACTATTGTCAACTTCGCAAACCTCACGAAACGCTTAATTGTGCCAGAGGAGCTGGACCAGACTGGTGTGACAGAGCGACTACTCACACATCGTCTCAGTTCACCTTTCTCTTCCACACCCAGTTGCCACTTAAGCGTTCATACACAACACATCTTACAACACTTACCATCATCCTACATTACACTTTCTGATTCCCCTGGCATCCTCCCATAGGACTGCCATACCCCAGAGGTAGGTAAAGCATCCACATGCTATCCATTCGTCGGCCACCCAGGCCCAGCCTCTCTTTTAAAAATTAAAAAAAAAAAGAAAAAAAAGAAGTTTTGAATAGTACCACAATTAATAATTTATCTCAATATCATATGTTTTATGTATGTATCTAGATTATTATAATTTGCTAATATACAGAGTACACGGTCAGCTGATGGTCCACGTAGTACTCTAACAAATTTAAGTAAAATTCTCAGAGTGAAGTTCTATCCACAGAATGATATAAGCAATAGATATGTGCCATGGACAATGGACAAACAGTTTAGTCTGTTACACAAAACCACACAACTGAAGCAGAAGCGATGCAGATGTAAAAAATAAGTGTAACAGGCGATTTATCCCTCATGCCTGACATATTATAAGAGTTATCTAAACGAAGATAAATGGTACTACCACTGGCCACATGTGTCTCTGAGTATCCTGTATCATAGCCTTTCTACAGATCAGATTTTACATGTCTGAAAGGGAATGTATGATCACCACCACCATGACCATCCAAGAGGCCATATGATAAGCCACATGATAATCAGCAAGAGTTGAACAAATCACTTGGACTCTACTGCCAAATTAGTAATTTACCTATCATTGCTGTAATTTAAAACTAAACCTTTACATTTTTTAAACTAATAATTTTATTATTGTAACAGCGGCTGCGCTACAGAGCAAAATTGTGTTTTCTTATTTGTAAATGTTTGAGTGTTAAATAATCTATGATTTAAGATACTTATATTCACAATTTTTGGTATGGCCTTACTGTACACTGCACTGACATTTACCTATTCATAATTCAATTTTTTTCATAATTCAATAGATTTTACTGTACACTCTAAAGTAACTTAAATTAAATAAACATTTGACTAATGTACCCTTTAAATTTGAACTGAATATTGAGTATTGTATGTGTATATTTGAACTTAATATGGATGTGATTATTTACTATGTATTGATTGTGCGTACAAAATACAATGTTTGTTTTACTAATATTCCCAAGTTTCAAAAATTTTCTCTAAGCCAGTGGCGCAACGTTGCATGTTGGGCCCCCTGTGCCCAAAGTGCTCCCCTTTTGGCACCCTCCCCTCTTAAACTTAAAGTAAAAATGTCAAATTGGACAAATTAGGTAATTTTAGAGGATATGCTGGTAAAATCTCAAAAATAAATGTGTTTCTAGAGCAACGCACGTAATTTTGCTAGTACTAGTTTTTAAATCTAAATACTTTTCAAATTTTACTGAGCAATAAATTTTTTTTTTTTGGGTGCAGCACCTACTGACTTGACTCGAAAGAGCAAGCGACTCAATAATACCAAAGAGTCCTACTGAGGCCCAGATGTTTGCGCCACTATCCCGGTAATGCAGAGATACATCTGGTACCATTGCAGAGCAATGGCAGTTGAGTGGGGGCGCCCCTCCGAAGATTGACTACCATGGATCCCGTGTGACTATGAAATGAGACCGATCTCGCCCCATTGGCATGCTCCTTAGTTTGTCAAAGGTGATGCTGGGCAGATCGCTGGTGTGGTGAGGAGGTTCGGAAGAGGTACACAATATATGGTGCGAGGTCAAGGAGGTTGTGTATTGTTATGATGCTATGTTAGTCGCTTTGGTGAACAGGTGTCTGAGTACAGGAATGTACGAGAAAGAGGACTTGATTGCGTAGTGAACTATGTCCGCAATTACTTGGACCCAATATATAAAATTAATCTAAATCCAAAACTTCATGAAAAACTATCCAAGAACAATCAAATCAATGGTGAATAACTGTGGATATAAAGATAAAATTGGTATTTGAATACGTCAAATTTCAGATACATTAGATGCAAATATGATATGGTCATTAATGTAAATGAAGTGAGAAGGTTTGTGTGGGAAGTGTAATATGATGTTGGAGGTATTAAAAA